GCAAACACACTTTTACCAACACCAGGACCGGCTATCCAAATCATGACATTGGAAGCATCTTCACTTCTATCTTTAAACCAAGTGTCGAGCTCTTCAAATAACCATTGTCTAGTGCCTTCAAGGTATTTCTTGTTGAGATCTTTTATAACACCATTGAAATTGCACTTTCCAAGTTTCTTGTGATCTGAACATGTTTTGACTTGCAACATGTCTTTTACTCCTGCTACATCAGCTTTTGTTGCCAACACTTGTGTAATTTCAGCTACATCAGCTTTTGTTGACATCACTTGTGTAATTTCAGCTACATCATTTTTTATATCTTCCACACTTTCTTTTGTTTTCGCAGCAACAGTACACCAGTTTTTTAACAATTCAATATAATTTGCTTCATCAGGACCGAGACGAGCTTCCTTCAATTTATCTATTTCAGTTTGTTGAATACCCAGACCAAGCAATGCTTTTGAAATTTCCTGCCACAAGCACTCAAACTCGCTGTCATCTACACTAGTTTTTGTTATGTGACCGTACAGTTTGTTTCGATAAGACTTTATTCTTGCAATATTTGCTGAGATTGAAGAATCTGAAGAGGAAGGAAGATTATCCCATCCACCATGTGGCGCTGTTAGACCACATATGTTACGCAATAAGATAGTCAATAATGAAATATCAAAGTTTTCAATGTCAGGTGAGCCAGTTGACGGGTAAAGAAGGTTCCATTGCTCTTTGCTGATGACTTTGAATTTTAGTGATGTCAATTTACTCTTTGTAGAAGGATCATTAAGTTTATCCTTTAAGTTTGATGATTGAAGGTTTATAATGATTTGCAATGTTGTTTTTAAGGCTTGAGTTCCTTTATTTATTAAAAGTTTACTTAAACGAGATCCGTTTGCCTCAAACTTCAGTTTTTTAGGCGGTGAAGCCATTTTTCAAGCTAGAAATGAAGAACGAGTTTGTGCAAAAAGCATTAATTTGCAATGTACAAAATGAGCACAACGAGATCCATTTTCCTCAATCTTTAATTTATTTGGTGGCGAAACCATTTTTTATTCGAGAAATAAGGAATGAGTTTGTGAAAAAAGGTATAATTTAAAATTTACAAAATGTTCACAAAAGTTAAAAGGATAAATTAAAATTAGTACTACATGTCATTTATAAAGATTTGTGTGCTTCATTTCTTTCTCTCGATAAAAATTGTGTTCACTGCCTAGTGACATGACCCAGTAATTGACCTTACATCAAGGCATTAAAATAGTAGGTTTGATAGAATGAAAAAACACTTAAAATAATAATATTTTCGCCTACTTGGCGCGAGAGGCAGAATATACCTTGCGATAATAACTCCTAGTTAATAAATAATATATCTTAATTGTCTAACAATCGTGTTGTGAAGACATACGTCATTCTTTTAACAGGATATATCAAACTGGTTTGCTGTGTTGTATGAATATTTGCTTATTAACATTTTGATAGGACTATATTGCTGATGATTCTGTTCCAATTTAAATTTTTGATAGACGGCAGTTTAGCGAACACCCGAAGTGCTTGTGACCGCGGGCTCGTTTTTGCTTGGGAATATAGGGTAGGGTTTGGGTCAGCGTCAAAAGTGTCCGCTAAACTGCAGTAGTCTCTCATGGGATATATTTGACGTCTGTAATCACCAGTAAAGCGTATAAATGAATGATATTTTCACTGCAAGGTTTTGACTATAGTCACTAAAACAAAGTGCAGATTATACGCTCTAAAGCATAGGTAATTGAAGAGTAACATATATGAAATTCACTCATACTGAAGATGGCATCATGAGATGTCGAAACATGTCAATTTTCAAAAAACTTGTCGATTGTATAAAATGCGCATAATCAATAGTGCTTTTACGAAATTATGGAAATAACATAAGTATTGACATTACTTGAAAAATTCTATTCGTGATCGTTGGCATATGCGACTATTACCGATGATACAGCCGAGGATATTACGACGAACAAACACTGCCTGCCTCACTGCCTCACTCAGACACTTTTTCAGTATGGCATAGTGGTTAGCCGCGCATGCACAGCGGCTACCCACAAAAACTAACTAGTGATAAATTATATTATTGTTTTATTACAGTATAACCTGACGTCTACAACTGCCTCCCCCCCCCCTCAAAATGTTGCTAATCCCCCAAATTTTACATTCTAGCCACATGTCTGCTCATATTGATAACGCTTAAAGCGTGATTCCGTTTATAGACGCTACGAGAATTTCTAAAAGCTTAACAATTGATGAATGTCTTCTGCATGAGATAACGTAAGAAAAGTACAAATAATACACAAATCATTCATTACTTTTTCTATAAACTTCAATTTTGCAATTTTCATGTGTCCAAATGGGGAGAAGTCGGCCCCTATTATATTACTGGCCCAAGGCAAAATGCCCCCTTGCCTATCACCTCACTGCGGGCCTGGCCTGACAGTCAGTGAAATTTCTCGACTATGTGTTGTTACACGATTTAATTCAAGTAACTAAAACAGTTAGACACCTTGGAAAACAAAACAAGTACCTTGATTTATGTTTCTCAGTGTATATGCTGAATCAAAGTTTATCTAAGACTAAATTACGTGAAAAATGAATGATGATGAAATATGTACGTTATCTGGCGTTCATTTTGACCACTTGAACATAATCTTTACTTTACATTTATACATTGTACTATTTACTTAAGTTTAATTTATTTAAAAAAATTGTCACATTATGACGTGGCATCTGTGAATGTCAAGAGCATCACTGACTCAGAATTATTTATTAAACCTTTCCTTCGTGTAAGAGCCGCAATTTTTATAGTGATAACTTGAAACAAACAATGAAACCTACTTTCCGGTCGTGGTATTAAATATAGCTTTAAAAGTCACTTATAGAATCATTCAAACGATTTTCATTTGAAATGGAAATAAACATTGATTTGTTTATAGTCATACTTCATACTACGCAATGTTTCGGTATCAAATTTGTTAAGTTGGAAATGTAATTACAAAACCTTGGTTAACTTACGTAAAATTACCTTTGTTTTAGAAATAAGACTTCATATACGACGATCGTGTGGACAAAATTATGCTTGCTTTAGTTCTTTACATGTTACGTAATAAAACAAAAGACAAGAAATTTAATATAAAAAACGCGACTACATACATATCAGTTAAAAATGGTGATCATAATTCATACATTATTAAAACATCAACTTTTTATCCATATAAATTTTGTTACATAAACACATTTCAATAACGAACAAAGATGAAGAGTGAATGAGGATCTCCTTCAACAAACAGTATTATTCTATAACTAAGTATACATCACTGATAAAAACAATTGTTACAGAAATAAAAATACATAATAAAGAACCTCATGCAGAGTACATGTTAACATTGAAATGAGTCAAACTCCAAAGGACTACTGTTAAATGATATAAAGTTTAACAAGTTTCAACTCAGGAATAAAGGGATCACCTCTCTAAAGTAGGATTTGAATGTGAATGATTAAGACACATTGTTTGAAACTTTAAATGAATTTTTTCACTTCGTTAATCTAAAGTCAGTTCACATTTTAAAAAGATCTTTGTTATTTAATAACCCATTGTAAATTATCAATACATTTTAATCATCAACTGCACGCAATTGTAATTACTGATGATCAATAAAAAACACCATACATATATTAGTAAAGGATGCAATGAAAGTAAACCTTAACACTGTTAAACTAACATATGAGCAAAAGTATAGTTTTAAAAGCTCACTGTGTTGATTCAACATTTCACAAAAAATAGATTCGGTCGCGTTCTTCCTCTGGGTGTAAATAAATTCTTTCTGCGTTTAACATTTGCTTACTTTTCAAATTTGTACAGATACCCCTTTTTCAATAGACAAGTACAGTTTATAAAGAAAAATTCAGCGTCCTAGATGTAGAAAAATGTTCTCATGTTATTCTGCCTCCTTCATATTTTTCAACAGGTTTTACTGTCCTTTACAATGCAGCTTATTGTCATAGTTAAAAAGTTGGTGTATCAACTTAAATATGATTTCTCTTGAATGTTTAGTCATACAATATCGAGATGCTTTAGTAGCAAATTTGTTATGTCAAGTTAGTAATATAGTTTCAGAATCTCGTTTTACTTTTGACAAATTAACTTCGTTTTAGAAATAATAGATTCTGTCGCGTTCTTCCTCTGTGTAAATACTTTCTTCCCATGTGTAACATTTGCTTATTTTGCTAATTTCGTTACTTTCAAAATAAATGGTTTGTTCAATACAATCATCAAACTTTTTCAAGACACACGGAGTTTAGTCAAAGGTGGCGTAGGCAAAGAAGGGAGGTGATGCATCACTGGATATGTTTCCCCTCTTCTACATAAATTTTCACGTATTCCCATTTTTTCTATATACAAGTATAGTTTGTATATCTCCCGCAGCATAAAAGTTCTGGCACCTGCATGCAACGTTTGGTATTATTGATAGTATATGTCAACTAGATACATACAGAAAATGTACTTAGAATTTGATAGGAAATGAACAAACAACAAACAAAACAACAGAATATAAGTAAAGTATCATTAACGATTGTTCACGTTTATATGCAGATCGCAATGATTCGTATATTTTCAATAAAGAGTTAGAAGTACTAATACTTTACGCGTTCATAAGTTTAGATTAACAAAAATATTGTTTTGATTCTTGGGGACTGGCACTAGTGTTAGTTACAGTTTATAAAGAAAAATTCAGCATCCTATATAAAGAAAATAATTTCCTGTTATTTTTCCTTCCCCTATACTTTTGTACAAGTTTTACTGTTTCTTTACCATGCAGCTTATGGTCAATTGTTAAAAAGTTGAAATATAAACTTAGATATGTTTATATTTCAACTCTCATGTCTCATGCATGTTTATTCATACTTCATCTAGATGTTTCTTTGGCTAATTTGTTAGGTCGGTAATGTAGATATAAAATCTTGCTTTACTTTTGTAAAATTACCTTTGTTTTACAAGTAAGACTTCATATATGACAACCTCGTCGACCAAATTATGCTTGCTTTAGTTCTTTACATGTCACATACTTTACAAAGATTAGAGATTTAATATAAAGAACGCGACCACATACATATCAGTTTAAAAATGGTGATCATAATTCAAACCTTATTGTAACATCAATAATGTTCATATGTTGAATGTGACAATGTGAGCAAAATAAGCTGTTCGTCAAAATCGAACTGATTTTCTAATTTCATACAGCAAATGTTTAAAAATTTATCAAATGACATCAAACGAAGCGATAGACACAAGTTGCTGTCCAAAGATAAAAACTGCACTTTTATTCAAAACAAATAAATATCTTATGTGTAAGAAATCCAAGCGTTTTTCTTTCTAACTTGATTCCTCTTTGATGATAAAATCCTGTGATTCTTGAAATCAGTGAATTAGTCGACTTCCATGTCAGGCATTTTTAAACGAATAAAAGGATCATCAAAAAATGCAAAACAGCAAAAGAAAAGGAAAACGGACAGTTTTTTGTGACAACGTGAACTGGCTTAAAAAATTTTATCAATTTAAATAAATTTAATTGTGCATTATCATGAGAGTACTGCGTGTGCGATTGCATTTTAAATTTATATTTACTTATTACTGTGGTAGTGTATAATTGATGCAAATCGTTCGCGGTTGATATAAATATTATTTATCGTCGTTTTGATAGGTAAACAGATCATTTGTGTTAACAAGATGATACGCAATTTACTAAACCAGGCATAAACATATATTATCGTATTATCCAATAAAACATAGCGCCATTTAGCTTAAGGTTGAAACACACTAGGCAGTTGCTTCAGTCGCGCGTCCAAAGCGAATTGATGCGCACGCGTCAGTCGCTTGAAAGCCAGAAACACACATGCAGCGACCATCGCGACATTTACCGTGGCGTCTATTGAACATGGCGGAGATTTTAGTTTGTTACACACACAGACATAACTTAAGCTTTTTATTTTGGCCTTTATTATAGCTACTAATATATGAATATTTACTCAGTACAAACTACTATGTTGAGAAAAGAGAACAAGCCAGTTAAAACACGCCAATATGATCATAGCCCATTACGCGTATATCGTGGACAATCTTATTCTGTGCATTTAGGTTGTGCATTAGGGTTCCAGTTTGTAGCTCGTATTGTCCCTATTTGATAAGTCATATAAAAACTGAAAGATTCCAGTGTGAATTCACTATATATTGCCCTCGTATTCCAAGGCATAATCTATAAATTCCGTATGATGCTTATGGCAGGGAATATGATATGCATTTAGGAAGTTAAAACGTATCTATTGGCCAATCAGTGTAAAGTGACTAAAGCGACCAATGTCAAAAGTTCAACATGTTGAACTTTCAAAGCGACTACATGACTGGAGCGGCTATCTCAAGCGCGGCCTTAGATATCTGATGATGCCAAAAAAATGGCGGATTTCGTCCTTTGGGATTCGGCAAGCAATTTTTTGATGAAAATCACGATAAAAACCTGCAATTCGTAACAGCGAGTCAACTGTGGTTGTCAGTTATCTGCTCCTACGAGGATGCGTTTATAACTATCGACGAAAGAGCTATATGTCGGCTACACATGTATGAATGCAGATGTGCGTCGTTTTCTTACCAGCGTCAAACTTGTTTGATCGATTAAACTCTTTAATCTTACAAAAAAGTATATCATAGTTCATCTCCACGGTTCACGAGAGAGAAGTTAGCTTATTTGTTATCATTGCTATTTTGCTTCTTTTCATGCAATGGGCAATGGCTTTTTTCGCAACAATTGTAGGATTTTTACTTGTTTCTTTATAAAAGTACATATCTCTGGATATTAACGGATTTTCTGTAATTGAGTTTCATATGAAATTTCAAAAAGACTCAAGTCTGCATAGGTTTGGTAAATGAAAACAAACAATAAAGTAAATGGTTTGAACCCGGGAGTATCGTTATATGTTTGTAAATGATGATCGTCCAGCTTAATAAAGTCCAGAGAAGGACTGTTTTTGTTGTTGTTGACTGACGTTTCGACAACCTTAGCGGTAGTCATCTTCAGAGTCAAATGAAGATCATCATTTACAAACATATAAAGAAAACAAACAATATTGTATAGAAATTACTTTAAGTAACCTTTTTTGATGTTCTGAAGTGCAAGTGCATCAATACTTGTAAAGTTGTAGCACATTTTGATTTTGTTTTATTGATATATGATTTGGGCAAAATGCAAATAATCATCAAACTTATGCTTCCAACGGTGTTTATAATTCATTTGTAGTTTTAATACTTCTACCTTTCTTTTTTGCTTTGTTTTGTTTTTCCTATATTTGCAATAAAAGTGCACTATAATTTGAATGATTAACACAGTTTTCACCTCAATAATAAATTTCATAAGCAGTTGGTAGTGCATTTTGTTCTCTGAGTATCCACATCTGGTGTTTTGTTCATACAAGAATGATGAAGTGCAAGTAGATATGTCATAGCAAGGCAATAAAACCAAATAAATTACATTCCTGTACTTTAATGGTAGAAGCTTAGAAGCTTTTTAGAAATTAGAATATTATTGTATATCATATCATCAATACCTCTATACCATCAATCTCATGATAAGAAATAAGAAGCAAAAAATTTGTAGAAAAGCTTTGAAAAGTGAAAAACCTTTCTTTAAAAAAGTAGCAATAATGCATATGATAAATCTCCATTCTGTACTCTAATAGGTAAATAAGCTCAAACTGTTTCTTGAAGCAAAAACTGTAATAATGAAGAAATATACAGTACAGTCACTTTGGAGGTTTCATCACGGAATCTTTAATGCTTCAGTATAGTGCATTTGATATTAGTAACATTTAAACAACACTCAACTAAAATAATTTAATAAAGATATGACATGATTTAAACATTAAGTTATATAAAACCCAATGGCTTATACAGTTTGAAGCTTCACATCTGCATCAACTCATCATCAATCTCAGTACAAATGTTTACATAGACACAAACTTTATGGTCTTCCATTTTACATGTTTGTGAATTGACATTTCATTAAGCATCAAAACACACACAACCCTCTTGCCATCTTTCTTTGGATCATGAGCTTTAACTTCAAAGCATTCAAAGCATCCTTAGTGAATCCATTGTCTCCATCCATAGAATTTGACCATGATCAAATTAAATAACTCTGGATAGGACAGACAATAAATCAATTATCTTTACAGCATTATGATTTTTTAAGACTCTGCCTGGTCAATAACATCTTCCAGTCATCTTTACTCCTTGATCTTCCCTGCATGTTGTCAGCAAATAGAACATAACAAGCTCGGCTCCAAATCATGGGTACCGTTGGGACTGATCAATTCTTTTTGATACTTACTCGCAGAGCAAAATATGTGAAGGGTCATTTTTGCTTTAGGGAAACTAATTTGCAAATAAATGGGTAAATTTGCGATTTCATGCATTAACAAATGACAGAAAATATGCAGAATTTTATAAACAAAAACAGGAAAACATCAGTATATTTGGCGTTCAAGTCAGTATTAAAAAATACGATCTTTAATATGTATTTTATGGCTTTTCAAGTGCATGTATAATTGCTTTTTAATCGTTGACGGACTAACAAAACAAACAACTACCTCACCTGTGAGAAGCGATATTTTCCTTTTTGTGGAAACTACGACATCCAACAATTGAACGATTGAAGTCTTGGCATTATAAAAGAAATGCCAAAAAAGAATCGTCACAGAATATGGAACTAACGATATCCATATTCTGTGATATCGTGTTTGTTTTTGAAAAATTCTTTATAATTTACTATAGACACCAGGAGGAGGACGAGAATATTATTTTTCTGCAAAGCGATCATATCAGCGGAAACACGTCCTTTGGCCGCCATTTTTTTGGCATCCTCGCCCCAGTAAAGTTAGCCGCTCCAGTTATTATAGAACTCAATGGACGTGACTACGCTACTAGCTTAGTAACCACGCAAAGCGGTAGTTTTAGACGAGCGACTAAAGCGACTGCCTAGTGTGTTTTAGCCTTTATAGTTTCGTTTAACGCTCATTTTTATTTTCACGGAAGTTAGAATCATCTTGTAATGTATTAAATATAGTATAATATATGCTTTGTGTATCTGTGTATCTACTGAAAATGTGGATGAACTGTCAATGAATTCAAGTGGACGAGTATTCTGCCCAGGGGCGAAACTAGAACGTTAATTGGGGTAAATATTCATGTATTCAGCTCTGCCCTGCTGACTTCTTTTGAAATTAACATCGCAAACAAAAGAAATCAGCAGGGCAGAGCTGAATATATGAATATATACCCCCCCAATTAAGGTTCTAGTTTCGCCTTTCATTCTGCCATTTAGTCAAACCTTACATGTGTATCTGTGTATCTACTAAAAATGTGGATGAACTGTCAATGAATCCAAGTGAACGAGTATTCTGCCATTTAGACAAGCCTTTGATACAATATAACGAGTAGCTAAGCAATACCGCTTTAAAATCAATGTTTTAAACAATTTTACTCACCAAATATGACCAAAGCGACTATTTCCTCATTCCCACACTTATTTTTTCGTTCCACAACGTAGAGTCATAGTTTTATATTGAAATATTTCTTCAATTTTGTCTTTCTTCGTATTGTAATGTACACATCATTGAAATGCAAGTGATGGGCTTATCACGAGATCATTCTGATTCACTTCCGCGCTTGTAACTGGATACAGCTGAAGAGTAGACAATAATCATGTTCATTGTCCATATATGGTTCTCACCAGATTTATGTTTTTACAGAGACTTTACCAATAAATTACCAAAGAAGAGATCAGTTGCACGAAGGTCGAATAACGCTATCCATTAAACTGAGTAGCAACGTTTTTGAGCGCTTCAAAAATATCTTAAAAAGGAAAAATCAACGATTCGACCTGGACAATAAATGAAATACAATATTGGTTCTAGAATTACAAAGTTTCATCATCATAAACAAAATATAACCATGCACATTCACAAATTTAAAAAACTACTATCCAATGGATAACGCTATCCACGCTTTGTGCAACAGGCTCCAGTATAAATTTAAAAAAAATTTTGAAGAGAATAAAAACCTAAAATTGTCCAAATGGAAATGGCGAAACTATTTTTCCGAAATTCCAGGGTCAAAGATCAAGAGATACATTGATGTAATAGGTACTAAGCACCGATCGGCATAACAGACCTTCAATTTCTTATTGTCGTATTGTAAAGAATCTACGAAAATTTGACAAAACTTTTAGATTCAATAGATGATTAACTTCATATATATATATAACAAATAGCTCTTTCCCTTGAAAGAGACATCGTTCCTGCAAGTTCAATATAGTACGAGAATATTTTTTGTGAACTTTATGTTATATCTGGTGTAGGTGACGTAAAATTAAAAATAGTAAAAAATTACACAAAAAATGTAAAAGAAACATAGCGTTGAATTCCTCAAGGATATACCATTTCTCTCATTAAATACTTTAACAGTTTGAGATTACTTTTATAAATATCTTTATAATTTGTATTTGAACGTTTACATCAGTAATTATACCAGTAAAGAAACTACAAATAGTCTCGATAATTCTGTCCATTAAACGCCTCTCTGGTTCAATGGAGTCTGGTGTATCACCAACATAATGACCATAAGCAATGAGTTTCTAAGAACAAAGAATATGAAATATAGAGCTTTATATAAGATGAATACATGACCCACATAGACATTTGAAGAGATAAAGGATTTTGGTGAAAAGACACAAGGGAACTTGGAGGATTGGATATGAATAAGTACTGTGGATAGATAAAGATAGCAATAGTGACAAACTTTTTGAAGTATGGATCCTCTAGCTTATTCTGGGAGGAATTTAGGAGGAAACTAACAACAAAATGTTCTGTAGCAACTTTATTTTGTGCTATCCAATTGTAATGGCTTAGAGACAACGCAATGACAATGTTTCCGAGATTAAATTTATTTCTTACAACTAAAGACTCCAAGTGTCCTAACACATCAAACAAAAACAACTTACTTGTATACAGTCAAGTGCAATGGTAATCATCCTGGCACATTATGTTAGATTGATTAAATTTAACTAACAACTAAAGATGTCAAGTGTCTTTTCTGTTATTACATATTAGGGAGCTTTAGCAAAAGTACGACTACTACAACGAGTACGAAGTTTGACCGTGTAAGAGAATGGTACGAGGAAGTTTGTTCTCTTTATCGTTTCATCAAAATTTTGTTTTAATAATAAACAACAGAACGAGCCTTTTAATTGTGTAAAACACCGAAGTTTGCGAAGCAGCTACGGCTCTATTTGTCAATAATGATATCAACGAATTGGCAAGACTGATTTTGCGAGATAATACGACTCTTTAGACTGAAAAATCTTCACTATTTTAAGTTTTATGTATGATATATTTGTACTATTTTATTGTTTGTTTACCGTTCACTTTGCGTACGAAATACATGAAAGTTTTGCAAATCATATTTTCCTTTTAAATGTACTTCTGCAATCAAAAAAAGTTCTAAATTAAAGCCTGGATGCTCGAAAATAGTACTGTAAACTAATTTCTTACACAATGACGAAATATAACTACTTTCTTTGCTTAAAGAGACATCGTAGTCGCGACTACGAATTTTTTACAAAACATGGTACTCAGATTGATGACGGCTACGTGCTTTTGTTGTCGCTACAATGTTTTCGCTCCAAAGTGACATAAATCGAACTCGTAGTCTTTGCTAAAGCTCCCTATTCTGTATTTCAGCAAAGAACTTTGTTATGCCACTAAGGAGAACTCAGGTATAACAACATTACAACCAAGCAATTTATCTCAGTATTGCCTACAGCGACTGTAATTACAACTGACCTGTAATTCAGCCATAGTATCTTCATCTTCTCGTTTGCTGGTGCTTGGGAAAAAGACGACATTGTCGATCATTTGGATAAGTTCCAATTGGACGACACACTTAATGATCAATGAATTGAACAGCATCCTCTCCGTCTGCACAACTAAAATAATGTGATGATTTTACGACGTTAAAGTACATACATGAAAAAATTAAAAAATGTCACTCTGGTGTTGGTTGGAACATTTCCGTATTCACGCTCAGACGATTTTTTCAATACAACTTTTGAATATGCCACCCAAAGGGCTAATTTATCTTATTAGAGGTCTTCTCAAATAAAATAAAATAAGCAACGAATGCCAAAAAATAAAACAAAAAAGAGTTTCTTAAGTTAGTGCTATTTCTTATGAAAAATAAATGTTAACAGGAGAAGTAGTAATAATTACTAATTAGTAACATTATTAGTTCTATTAGTAACAACATTATTGTTTCAAACATTGCAAAAAATGTAAACTTTTAGAACATAAGCAGCTTCAGGAAATGTTACATGACGTCGCTGTTCACTTCAGATTGAGTTTTTCAAACGTATATATCAATTATACGTTTTGCTACGCCTTTCCAATAAACCAAAGTGAATTAAACACGTAAATGGCAGCAGGCTGTGACAACAAATTATTAATCTCAATTGATTTCTAACACATAGTTACCTGGTTCGTGTTCTTCGACAGGTTCAAATCGTAAACTAGGCGTACTATGTAAACTAATGCTGTCTTGTTCTTTGGTTTCTTCAACTGTTTCTTGAGGCATTTCCTCCTCCGTTTCATTCAAACCATTTGACGATTGCTGACCATCTTGTTCGTCCTCGTCTAAAAAATAATACGGAAAATTTTTCACTTGTTACTCAAAGAATGCAAGCTGTTGGTCCATACGAGTTAAAAATTCACACGAGCTATATTGCAATATGCGAACTTTTGCTTCATATGAGCTTTTGGTTCAAATGAGCTTTTTTAATATGCGAGCTTTAGCTTACCATGAATTATTTTCCAAACTTATAATTATGGAGACAATTGAAGCAAAAATTTTCCTTTAAAAGAATTCACAAACTTTTTATTTACCTTCCGGATATTTGGGCACGATATCATCCTCCAGGTCGACAGGTGACATTATCTACAATATACGTCAATTTTAAGGGTAATAAATACATAAAACAACCAGAATAGTTATGAAAGTTTGTCTATAATTTTAGAGTGTCGGGCTTTAAAACTTCATAAAAAATACTAAGGGGCGGATTACATGATCCCGGTAGCCGGGATTCAGCCAAGCGTTAAATCATTTTGGCAAATGGAAACGATTCAATACTTATTATCAGATAAATCTTTTTAAGCAATTTCACAATATTCTGATTTAATAACTACGCAAAACATTTAAAATTAAAACAACCAATTCGCCATAATTTGAGAATTACAACCGGAATGACGTGTGGCGCTTTGCAAACAGTTGTAATTTTTAACCTTGAAGTTTTTACTCTTTTCAATCCCTTGAAATCATCGGGGCTAGCTCGCTATCCGGCCCAGCTCACCTCCATATAATCAGGCCCTACGTGTAACTTACCTTGAGTGGTGATGACGCAGGAGTGACATCAGGTGTGGGTAGATTCATTACTTGTTGGTCAGCGGGTCTCCATTTCAATAGTTGGTGAGGTACGGTTGATTCAAATATCGTCTTTACACATTGACATGTCTTTTCCCAGACGTCTTCGGAGAACGTGTTGCCATTGGATATGACGAGATTTTCCAAGCAATTGGTACCAGACCTCGCTAACTGCTCGTTATCTAAAGACATGTATTGAATGAACGAGCAAAGCAGGACATGGTGTTACAAAGCATTTACAGTCGAACCTGTAAGAATCTCTAATACTTCTTGTATATTAATGTATCTCAAATATTCCTCTCGTAGGAATTCCACCCCCCCCCTGAAAATGAATTTTATTAAATTTCAAAATTTTCATCAAAAGACTATAATTTATGCATTTGAAATAATATTGAAATACATTATAGTTCAAGCCAATCACAAACTCTCATACTTCAAAGCAATCACACACTCTCCTAGTTTACACCAACCCAAACTCTCCAACTTCAAACCAATCACAAACTCTCATACTTCAAACAAATCACTTACTCTGATAATTCAAACCAATCACAAACTCTGACACAACGAACCAATCACCTAGGCATATGCAAAGCACAAACACGTTGCGTAATCTCAAGCTTACCTTGTTTGACACACCACTCTAGATGGCCATACATATCATCAAGAAGAATTTCAGCAAGAATATCAAAATACTGAGTAAAAACATCAATGATAGCATATAGAGCATGATTACAAGTTGTTGTCATCCATTCTGATTTCTATAAAGAAACATCACAAATTTCAAAACATTCTCAGCTGATGTCTCATTTAATAACGAGCAAATACAACACCTTATACACGGACTTTATTCTATGTAAAGGAAACGACCTTCCCGTAGTTTAACACTTCTCCCTCCTGATTTAAAGGCTAAAGCATTCTTTCACAAACAAGTGTTTCAAACTTTCACAAACGAGTGTTTCAAACCTTCCATACTGGTACAAATCGTTTACACAAAATGCAATCGGTGTGTGAATAGGGAATGCAATAGGATAAGAATGGATAGAGAATGAAGTAGAATCTAGAATGAAAGTGGATAGAAGTGAATAAGAAATAGAGGAAGATATGAGGGGATCATTGAACTAAAATACATGGAACGCTACATGAAGCAAATAATTGAAGCCAAATCTTACACCCAGACACGCGTGTTTAGTGTTTCGAGATTCTCTCGCGGAGTGAAAATTGATTGAGCTACACACGCGTGTCTGGGTGTAAAATTTGATTTCAAAAAATTACTACGGTTTTCTATTACAGGTAGCGTTCCATGTATTTTAGTTCAATGGAGTGGATACACAATTGAAATGGATGAGTGAATGAGGAATGAAGGTGGATAGACATG